CACCATTCCTAACCAAATACTTTCCAAGCTCCTCCCACTTTACTCCCACCATTTTCGAAGCTGTGACCATTTCTGAAATTCCTGACCATTTCTGAAATTCTTGACTATTTCTGAAATGTGTGAACACATAACCTATAAAAATTGTTCTTTTAACTTAACAAAAGTTCTCATTTTTCAAATTGGTATAATTATTGAATTAATTATACAGCAAAAGTAGGTAAATAAATCAAAACATTCGGACCATTCTTTCAACATTATTTAATATATTTATTTAATGTATATTTATAATATATTAATTTAATATATGTATATTTACTTGTAATTATTTAATATAGTTAATTAATAATAAATTTTGATTCATAATATTAGTAATTTACTATACCAGTCAGTACTTATTATGAGAAGTATTTGCATTATAATTGAAATACAGTTATATTTAAATTATTATTAATCATTAATAGAATAATTTCTTACTATAATGATTATTAATAATTTAAATTTTAAATTTATAAAAATTTCAATATTGCATTAATAATTCATTATTATTATAAATTATAATGTTAAATTAAATTAATATTAAATACTAAATTGATTTTAAATGCAGATATAATAATAATTATTATTAATCTGTATTCGTATTATAGTTTATGAAACATTCCAAATTGTAAAGTTAAGACTTAATTTATTATTGATTCAATTAATAATGTTAATTTTTATTAATTCACATAACCTATTATGACTAAATTGAAATATAATTAATTAATACAAATTATTTAACAGTTTATTCTGATTTATTGATAATATTGGTAATTGAATTTTACTATTTTACAGTTGCTCTTTATATATAGTAGACAGTTGAATCCAGAAATATGTAAGTCGGTTCGGTAGTCGCAGTCGTTAGGGCAGTTAGTTTAGGCACTAGGTTAGGTCATGCGTCGGGGTTCGATCCCCGTAGGGTCCAAATTTTAATTTAATTCCGGGAATTAGTTTCAAGTTGTTCCGTATGTAAACAAACTGATATTAATTAATAAAATATATTTTTTAAAATTAATTTGTTGCAACTTTTTGCATATTGTTTAAATAAATAAAACAGAAGTGGCTTAAAAATATGGTCAAAAATGAGATACAAATGGTCTCAAATAGTCACCAATTATGGGCGGGGTCAACAAAGAGGAGGGGATAGTAGCAAACTTGTGACCACTTTAAACTTCCTCCTGATCAGTTGTGATAGATTTCTGACGAGATCCATCCAGAATCGTAAGAAAACTGTATTAAAGTGGTCAGGCGGCCTGACCATTTGTCTGATCATTCCTGATTTTATTTTTAGTAGGGACCATATCAAATCCCACATGTTTTTCCCAGTCAAATCCTAAACCGAATCCCATGTGAAAAACAGTATCATTTATTTATAATTATTTTCCCAAGTCAATCCCCAAGTGAAAAACAGTATCATTTATTTATAATTATTTTCCCATGTCAAATCCTAAACCAAATCCCATGTGAAAAACATTATCCGCCTTATTGAATATCCCTACATGGGAATCCACTTGGAATTTTACAAGGGATTTCACATAGGATTTTATATGGGAATTGACATAGGATTTCATGCAAGATTTCACCTAGAATTTAATATGAGATATCACATAGTATTTTATTAAAGATCCAATGAAGAAATTTTTAAAGGATTAAAAATTATTTAATAAAAAATTAAATAATAAATAGTATTAGTGTTACAAGTCATCAAAAAAGTAAAAAAACGATCATTTGAAACACGTCCTCTCTGCCACAGGTTCTCAGCTTTTATATACTTCCAGAGTCGTCTCAACAGCGAGAGAAGTCACTTTCGCCACCTAGCGGTGAAAGAATAGGAGCGACAGTAATCTTTATCATTACTAAGGAAACCATGTGGAATACCACGTAGGATTCCATGTGGTTTCCTACGTGGGGATTTACATGGGATTTTACTTAGGAATTTAAGTACAAATAAATTCCCAAATGAATTTCTAAGTAAAATCCCATGTAAATCCCCACGTAGGAAACCACATGGAATCCTACGTGGTATTCCACATGGTTTCCTTAGTAATGATAAAGATTACTGTCGCTCCTATACTTTCACCGCTAGGTGGCGAAAGTGACTTCTCTCGCTGTTGAGACGACTCTGGAAGTATATAAAAGCTGAGAACCTGTGGCAGAGAGGACGTGTTTCAAATGATCGTTTTTTTACTTTTTTGATGACTTGTAACACTAATACTATTTATTATTTAATTTTTTATTAAATAATTTTTAATCCTTTAAAAATTTCTTCATTGGATCTTTAATAAAATACTATGTGATATCTCATTAAATCCTAGGTGAAATCTTCCATGAAATCCTATGTCAATTCCCATATAAAATCCTATGTGAAATCCCTTGTAAAATTCCAAGTGGATTCCCATGTAGGGATATTCAATAAGGCGGATAATGTTTTTCACATGGGATTTGGTTTAGGATTTGACATGGGAAAATAATTATAAATAAATGATACTGTTTTTCACTTGGGGATTGACTTGGGAAAATAATTATAAATAAATGATACTGTTTTTCACATGGGATTCGGTTTAGGATTTGACTGGGAAAAACATGTGGGATTTGATATGGTTTTATGCATAGATGAACTGTTCAAATTTCCTATGTCTATTCCTAACTAAAATCCTGTCTCAATTTCCCATATGGTTTGACATGGTAAACCACGTGGTTTCCTTCATGGAAGTAGGGTTTTACATGGTTTTTGACATAGGATCCCATGTGGTTTCCCATGTGGGGATTTTCAATAGGGCACTGACTTTTCTAAGGCTTTTGACAAGGTTGACCACGAACTTCTTTTTCAAAAACTCAACCTACTCGATTTACCCCAAAACCTGATTTCTACTTAACAGTCTTACCTCACCAATCGACCTAATATTGTCCAATATGAAGGTTTCTTCTCTAAACCTTTTATTGCCACGTCTGGCGTTCAGGGATTTTCAGTAGGGGCATGGCTCCGTACTTGGATCCCCCCTCTTCATCCTCTACATTAATGACGTCACACAATATTTACAAGTGGAAAACCTTTTATTTGTTGACGACCTTAAACTTTTTACCATAATCAGAGACAAAAATGACAAAAAAAACTCTTCAAAAGAGTTTAAATATACTTTCTAACTGGTGCTCAATCAATAAGCTTCCCCTTAATCCCTCGAAGTGCAGTGTGGTCTCTTTTTCTAAATCTAGGTCTCCTCTCATTTTTGAATACAAAATAAACAAACAAATCATTTCACGCAAAGATGAGATACGAGACCTAGGTGTCATTTTTACAAACAACATGAAGTTCTTTCCTCATTACGAATCTATTTCCTCCTCTGCATCCCAAACACTAGGAATGATTTTCCATAATACGAAACACTTCAACAACATACATATCCTCACTATTCTCTTTGACACTCTCGTAATCTCGAAACTTGTATACGCTTCTTTAATTTGTGACCCCTATTTCCAAAAAGACATAGACTACCTTGAGAAAATCCAAAAAAGATTCTTGAAATATTGTTACTTCCTAAAACACCATACTCATCCTCCTCAAAGATACGACTACCTTGAACTCTGCAAGGAATTCAACACTTTGACCCTGGATGATCGACGGAAAATTATAAAATGTAAATTTATATTTGGACTTATTAATAATATTATTTATTCTCCCTTTTTACTCAAACTACTTTCTTTTAAAGTTCCACGTCTATCCGTTAGGTCAACCGAACCCCTTGTGCCTTATAAACCTTCGACTTCCACTGGTTACCGTGCTCCACTACACCGCACTATCAATATTTTTAACACAATTTTTTCTGATAACTGTAACATCGACATATTTAACACCAATCAACCCAAGATTAACACTTACATGAAACACGTTTTTCTATCTTTAAGAGACTCGTTATAATTTTTCGTTTACTTTTCTTTAAACATAATTTGTTACTTCGTTTTTATATTTTTAATAATCACTATGCTTTCTTTCTCTAATAACTTTGTACTTATATTTTAAATGTACTCCCATTTAATGCCCTTCATGATTCATGTGATTAAGGGCTATGTATTTTCCAAATAAAAAAATAAATAAAAAATGATACTGTTTTTCACATGGGATTTGGTTTAGGATTTGACTGGGAAAAACATGCAGGATTTCATGTGGGATTTGATATGGTTTTATGCATAGACAAACTGTTCAAATCTCCTATGATTATTCCTATCTAAAATCCTGTCTCAATTTCCTATATGGTTTGACATGGGAAACCACATGGTAAACCACGTGGTTTCCTTCATGGAAGTAGGGTTTTACATGGTTTTTGACATAGGATCCCATGTGGTTTCCCATATGGGGATTTTCAATAGGGTATTTCTCATTGACCCTCATGAAAATTAATCATATACTTCGATATAGATTCTCTTCCCTCTGTAAGTAAAATTTGTAACAATACACACAGTAATGCAGCTAACGGTAAACCAATAATTATTAACCTACGTTATAATTATTTAATAATAATTATTAATTACCTACGTATTATTACCTAATAATTATTTACCTACGTTTAATATGTGCCTTTTGTTCTACTTATTGATTCCATTTAAGCACATAATAGAAAAATATCGAAGGGAACACTTAAAGGGGTTGAAAATAATCGAAGACAAAATGTCTTTAGACATACGGTTAGTTAGTCGAAAATAATCTTGCAATAGGATTCATATTTCTCTTCGAATTAAAGTTTATAATTGACACAAATTATAATAAAAGCTAATAAATTATAATGTATTCCTTAATAAACCTTAATTATAAAGAATGAAAATACCAAGATGGTAATATTAACAGAATGATAACGAAATCCATTTGTTTATTTATTACTTAATACTAAATAAGTTTTAAATACTTATACTAATTAATTATTAAAGTTTAAAAGAAAAAATTAATTTTTTACATATTTATATCATAAGAACTATGAATTCTTTTTCCGAAGAAGTGTGAACATTGAATACGACATTTGAATGATCTGTAAGAATATATTATTCAAAAAAATATTTAACATGATTTGAAGAAAAGAATTTCATTTTCAACAAAACATTTTTGATTAGAAGAAAAAATTTACTCACTGACATAAATGTTGGAACTGTCAAACTAATAAGAAACTTGGATAAAATAAGTGGCTTTTGCGTTCTCAGCATAACAATATGCAAAGTACGTCTAAAACGAGAATGAAGTTTCCACCAACTTCCCATATAAATTGCACCTGCCAGTGTTTCGTTCTAAACAATATTAATCAATTTAATAATTTTATTTAAGAACCGTTTTTTAATAATATTGATGATACTTAGTAAAAGGTCTCTAAATACTATTGTCAATATAAATATTTAATTAATTATTATTAATGAAAAAAATTATTATAAATAAAATTGCAAACAAAAATAAAAAAACCAATTAACTACCAATAATATGGATTTTATAAACAATTATGATATGTATAAATTATAAAACCATGGTAAACATTAATTTCAGTAAGGTAATAAGTATTTTATTATTATTAACTTAAGCAGTCTCTTACGAAATAAATAAGAATTCATCGTTCTAACAGTTGTTTTATAAATGCTCGAATAAATAATTTTTTGTAAGAAACTAAAAATTTTATATTCATGATATTCATATATTCAGTGTAAACCTTAAATTTTTATCTTTCTATAAAATATATAATTGTAAAGATTCAGATTTAAATCTTATTAGAAATGAAAATGAAATAGAAAAATTAAATATCTCACTTGAAGATATAGTTCATTCCCTTGCCAAGTGTAGATAAAAATTTGATATATCATACACAAAGAATAAGCACTATTGCCTATTATTTCTATTGGATTAAAGTGGGTCATCTTTAAAAGAAAATATTTTCGATTAATTTTTAAATTGTTAAATTTAAATTTGTATTTATTAATTTCTAATCTTTTTTGAAGTAATAAATATTTATTAATTTTTGTATTTTTTGTATTAGTTAATTTTCTTTAATTTTGGTATTAATGAATTTTTATTAATTTATGAATTGAGATAAATATACATGAAATATCAATCTTCCAAGTCAAAATTGTAACATTGTAAAAAAAATTGACCAGAAGATTCAGAGTTATAAGCAATTTAAAAAAAAATGTTCTCAGAGTTGATCATAGTAGCCAGAGTTGGGCCATTGTAGAAAATCAATAAAATATTTAGGTAAATGATTAAAAATGACCTTCAAATAATAGAATGACACTTGGGAATGAGGAAAGGAACCATGAAATTAAAATAAAATTCCATATTATGCATTTTCATATAACTTTAGATAATTTAATCCTCATAAACGAAATCCAAAATTGAAAACATTAAAAAAAGTTATCAAAAAATTTGTTTTCCTCTCTTTCCAATGGAAATGAAGTTTTTAACACCTCTTTAAGTAAAAAAATGAATTTCTGTTGCAAGTACGCTTTGTAATTGCAAAATTTCTCTCATGGCCCAACTCTGACTCACGCGTCGTTTTGCGTCATAGGGGCACAGAACAAAAACGCGTGACATAAACACCAAAATATTTTACACATTTTCACATATCATCTAAATAAACAATTTCTGTAAACTTATTTTGTCTTTGGCACATTTCTTCTACATGTAGTTCTCTTTTTTTAACAACACAAAAATGTTTTTGCTGAGCCTATATCACAAATTGGTTCTATAGTCAAGTATAGGTTCGTATACTTAACTGCGACTCATATGAAAAGATGGCTGACACTTAGTAGCAAGGATTTACGTACAAAGATAGGTGGCGCTAGTGTGATAAAATGAAATAAACGCGGTGGCTTAACCCTAAACCATGTCCAACTCTGACAACTCTCTCCTACAATTATTATTTAGAGTAGAACGGGGTGAAATAGCCATGGTGCAAAAAAGCCATTTGACTTTTATTTGAAAACTATTAAGGACGCTGCACGGTGGGAAATATTTAAAAGTACGCATAGGCGTAGCGAGCGATTTCTCCTCAACTTCCACTCTTTTCCCCTCTTTTCGTCCCTCTTGGTGAAATTTTTTGACTTTGATAATTAATTAAAAAAAATCCAGATTGAAAATGAAAAAAAGGGCGATTTAGGGAAAAATAATATTTAATAGAGAATATTCAACAAGTTTTCTTATGACGATTAGATGTTTCTATGGGCGTGAATATCAATCCGCGTTTTCCAAAACATAGCAAACTGACAGCTCAATATGGGAGGTTAGCCATGGCCGACTATATCAGGTTGCACCGTTTGCGTAGTACAGTAGAAATGAACGTAAGGAACAAAAATATTAAATGTCAATTATACTCTCATTGTTTACTATTACATTTATTATTTGTTTATTTATTTATTATTGTTATTATATCTATTATTATTTATTATTTTACTTACTTTTTTAAAATATTATTATGGAAAAGTATTAAAACAATAAAGGAAAATTTTTTATGAAAAAATTATTAAACAAATAAAATTTCTAAACAAAAAAAAGTAAATAATAAAAAATTATGAAATGTATAATTTTAAAAATTTTTAATGGTTATTTTTATTATTGATATTTTTAAGTATATGAAAAATCTAATTTAAATATTCCACAAAATTAGTTTTAAAGTAATTTTTTATAAGGAATTCAACGGTCATAAAATAAAAGCAGACAGAAAATATTTTGACCCTTTTTCAATTATCATTTTTCTTAAAAATTGGTGGATTTCGAAACACACGCGTAATTTGGTAGAAAATATGTTTTTAAATCCATGAAAAGAATTCCAAATGAAATCGATGATTTTCATAATTACCTATAGAAGTATTGTTTTGAAAAAAATCTTTGTTTTTAAACTGAAAATTCTAAAAATAACATTGTTATTCAATTTTTCTATATGGAAAATTATTTGTTTACTTATTTAGTTTCTGATCAAAATTTAATCTTAATTTTTCTGTATTTTTATTTTTCATCAATAAAAATTATGATATGAAATTATTTAGAAAAATAAATGTCAAAAAATGCCCTTTTTTAATAAAAAAAAAAGCTGCAATGTATTGAAAAAAGACGAAAATTTAATAATCTACTTCAAAAATTGTTAGAAAAAAATTGCAAACATCAACGTCGTTTTCTCAAGACAAAAATGGTTTTCATAATTGGAAATAAATTCTGAGTACCTCCGTGTTTCAGAAAAAGGACTTTTTTCATAAAAAAGATCCAATTTTATGACAAAAATTATGTTTAATAATATTTTCATAAAAAATTTACATTACTTTGTTTTATACTTTTCCATTATAATATTTCTAAAAAGTAAGAATAATAATAAATAATAATAGATAAATAAACAAATAAATATAATTATTTATATAATATTAAATAATAAAAGTAATGACTTATTATTTTTGTTGATCATCTACGTCCCTACATTACCATAGCGTAAATACTTTCAACACAAAAATGGTGCAACCTGTTATGGTCGGCAAAGGCCTACATAGAGCTGTTGACAGAAAATGAAAAAAAGGGCGATTTAGGGAAAAATAATATTTAATAGAGAATATAAAACAAATTTTCTTATGACGATTAGATGTTTCTATGGGCGTAAATATTAATCCGCGTTTTACGAAACATATCAAACTGATAGCTCTATATGAGAAGTTGGACATGGCCGACCATAACAGGTTGCTCCGTTTGCGTGGTACAGTAGGAATGAACGTGAGGAACAAAAATATTAAATGTCAATTACTCTTATTGTTTACTATTATATTTATTATTTGTTTATTTATTTATTATTGTTATTATATCTATTATTATTTATTATTATACTTACTTTTTAAAAATATTATTATGGAAAATTATTAAAACAATAAAGGGAAATTTTTTATGAAAAAATTATTAAACAAATAAAATTACTAAACAAAAAAAAAGTAAATAATAAAAAATTATGAAATGTATAATTTTTTAAATTATATTATTTATACAAATTTTTTTAAACAAAATTATTTCAAATACCAAGATTAACTTTTTTTATAGACAATTTAAAAATTAATACACTGGGAATAATATTGACACATTCAGAAAAAATAAATTTTAATGGATAATTTTTTTAATATTTATCAACTATAGTTTATTTCTAAAAAAATTATACATTTCATAATTTTTTATTATTTACTCTTTTTGTTTAGAAATTTTATTTGTTTAATAATTTTTTCATAAAAATTTTCCTTTTATTGTTTTAATAATTTTCCATAATAATATTTTTTTTATCCCACATGCACAAAAACGGCGCTTTCTGATAGCAGCCGACAGGGAGGAAAGTCATTCATTTCTTCGACCGTATGAAAATGGCGGCCGTGTTCTCCCAAGGGCAAGAAAATTAGCTGTTCACATGCATTTTTCTTGCCCAAGGGAGAAATCGGCCGCCATTTTCATACAAATCGAACAAGTGAATGACTTTTACTCCCTGTCGTCTGCTATCTGAAATCGCCGCTTTTGTGCATTAGGAATAAAAAATATCGTAAGTAACACGAGAATAAAGGCAGCCAATTTCTTTACGATGATTTTTGTGACACTCGTTCCGGTCTCGGGGCGCCTACGGCGCCCTCGACCTCCACTCGTGTCACAAAAATCACCGTAAAGAAATGGCTGCCTTTCTCCTCTTGTTGCTTAATATACTATAAAAAGTAAGTATAATAATAAATAATAATAGATATAATAACAATAATAAATAAATAAAAAATAATAAATATAATAGTAAACAATAACAGGGTTCCTACAGAATCTGGAAATCATGGAAATGGTATGGAATTTTTAAAAGGCTTCTGGAAATCAGGAAAATAATGGAAAAGGCCTGGAACTTTTAAAAGTTTCTAAATTTTTTCTGTTTTCTATTTTTTCTCTTGAATAGAAATTCAAATAATAACAAAGCTAAATGGCATGAAAGAGAAGAAAAAATATTGAATTTTAAGAAATTCGATTTTTCGGATTTTTGATAATTTTATATAATTTTAGATTTTTTACCAAAGAGTCGAGACTATTAAATAAGTAAAGTATTTTCCAAGAGCCCAAAAATAATGAAGCTAAATCCCATAAAAGAGAGGAAAAAATATTGAATTTTAAGATATTCGGATTTTTGATAATTTTCCATAATTTTAGATTTTTTACCAAAGAGTCGAGACTATTAAATAAGTAAAGTATTTTCCAAGAGCCAAACATAATGAAGTTAAATCCCATAAAAGAGAGGAAAAAATGTTGAATTTTAAGAAATTTGGTTTTTTGAATTTTTTCGAATTTTTGATAATTTTAGATTTTTTACCAAAGATTCGAGACTATTTAATAAGTAAAGTGTTTTCCAAGAGCCCAAAAATAATGAAGCTAAATGCCATAAAAGAGAGGAAAAAATGTTGAATTTTAAGAAATTCGGATTTTTGAATTTTTGATAATTTTCTATAATTTTAGATTTTTTACCAAAGATTCGAGACTATTTAATAAGTAAAGTGTTTTCCAAGAGCCCAAAAATAATGAAGCTAAATGCCATAAAAGAGAGGAAAAAATGTTGAATTTTAAGAAATTTGGTTTTTTGATAATTTTAGATTTTTTACCAAAGAGTCAAGACTATTTAATAAGTAAAGTATTTTCCAAAAGCCCAAAAATAATGAAGCTAAATGCCATAAAAGAGAGGAAAAAATGTTGAATTTTAAGAAATTCGGATTTTTGAATTTTTGATAATTTTAGATAATTTTAGATTTTTTACCAAAGAGTCGAGACTATTAAATAAGTAAAGTTTTTTCCAAGAGCCCAAAAATAATGAAGCTAGGCTTCGAAGTGACACACTTTTCCACTTTTTTTGGTCAAGCCTACTTTTTGCTACTTATTTTGTCAA